GTCGTCGTCGCGTTCCTCCAATCCTCGACAAATCTATTCGGACGTTGATGCTGAGCGTAGATCAAGATCTTGAAGGAGACACCTCGAAGAGTCTCCTTTACTCCTTGGATTTGCCCCCTACGCACGCTTAAGATCGTGATCTTTAATCTACGTAGCCACGTAATAAATCTAGTGAGTCCGATGGCTATAGGAAGATCCACGAAGGACGTAAGATCCGAAGAAGATCTGAACGATCGAGATTCTTATCCTATCGATTCTCGGAACGATAGGAAGCAACGTTATCGATCGTCTATGATATCACGATCGTTTAATAAATCGTTTCACGTGAAAATAATTCGTTATTTGGAAAATGGAAAAAAGAAAAAATAATTCCAAAAAGATTTTCTACACGTTTTTACACATTCAATTTATTTTTCTGCGATTATTATATATATATATATTTTTTTTGTTTTTTTTTCTTTTTCTTCCCTTTTTCTACTTATATTATTTTATATTATTATTATTATTATTATTATTATTATTATTATTATTATTATATAAAATAATATAAATACGAGAAAGTAATAAAGATATAATTATGTATATACAATATAAAAAATATATACATACATGTATATATATATATATATTTTATATAATATATGAAATAATATAACAAAATATAGAATTATTTTTATATATATATATACTGTTCATAAGATATATGAAAATCATTTTTTCTTTTTCTTTTAAATATAATCTATTATTTTAAATTGTCAATTGACAATTTTTTTAATTTAACCTTTCACTAAGTCAGATCTCTTTTTCAATCTGGTTACTATCGAAATCGTTATAAATCATTATCAGTACAATATTTAACTTAAAACTTAACCTATGGAATAGATAAGATTATCTTTCAGATTAACTTTTTTTTTATTTCAGAAACTAGATAGATAGATAGATAAAGAGAGAGAGAAAGAGAGAGAGAGAGAGAGAGAAAGAGAGATAGAGAGAAAAATTTCTGAGACCGAGAGACTGAGAGACTGAGAGACTGAGAATGAAAAATTCGCGGTAACGATCACTCTCATAGCGACCTGTTATTACTCGGTAATAGTGTTAACTGCTATAACGGCGATGGCGCCTTTCATTACGTTTATATACACATACACATGTAGAATATAACGCAACGAGCTTGTAAAACAGAGCGAAAGGCCTCGCGGTGAGAAAAGGAGAGCGAGAAAAATGGGAGGTAACGTTCATAAAGAGACCGCTTTCAAAAGAGACCGACACTTGAGATTTTCCAAGGTGATAAAGAAAATTGCTGAAAATTGTCGGCTCGAATGAATGAAAACGACGACAACGACAACGAGAACGACAATAACAACAACAAAAATAACAAGGACAAGGAAAAAAATATATATTTTAACTTTTTCTTTTTGTTCGACTTGATCTGAAATATGTCGGGGGGTCGTATAAAACGAGACGTATAAGTTTGAATATCTATAACAGTCGAAAATTAAAGTTATGTGTTATAACTCTTAATTATATAGGATCTACTGTAATATACGTGTAAATAATTATTGTTCTGCTACTAATATTTCTTTATTTTCTTTTTTCTTATTTTTCTTTTTTTTTTCTTTTTTTTTTCCTTTGAAATGCACAGTTTCGCTATAATTGTGTAACCACATAACATTGTTATTTTTTTACTTTTTATTTTTTTATTTTTTATTTTCCTTTTTCTCTCTCTCTCTCTCTCTTTCTCTTTTTTTCTTTTTCTTTTTTTTTTTTACAAATTGAATCCTTCGCCGATATTATCTGTCGACATATTTTATGTATTATTTATTATACATGCGATATGTATATTTATAATTATAATTATGTTATATATAATTATAATTATAATTATGAATGTAATCTTAAATAAAAAGAAAATTTTGATCGATCATTGTTATGTATACATCGATCGATATTATAGTAATGTGCATCCATTATATATATATATATATATGACTTAGGTTATTTTCGTAATCATCAATTCATATGCATGCATATCACATTATATAATAATATGATATTTAATAAGAAAATTTTATTTCTTCATTAACTCATTTTTACAATTCATAATTATACTTTATATACTTACATATATTGTATATATGTACATACATATATATATATATATATATATATGTATATATATATATATACACTGCATTATATAATTATACCCTTATTGTATAAAACAAATTTAATTTCTTGATTAATATATTTTTACAAGCTGTAATTGTATCCAGATATACATGTCAGATTATGTAAAATATGTAAACTCTCTTATATTTTGATAAGAAAATGATATAGCATTTTTAAATGCGTAATAATTTACTTGGAAATAGTATCGTTAAGATCTCTCTCTCTCTCTCTCTCTTTATTTCTCTTTCTCTTTCTGTTTCTCTCTCTATCTCTTTTTATTTCTTTTATTTATACATATATATATATATATATATATATATTTTATAAATATATTTTATATATATATTTTTTATTTTCGTTTCTCGGATATATTAGAGACCGTCGAGAAATTATACTTTATGAGTTGATTTTAATTCGAAAACACGTACCTAATGGTCCACCCTGTTTACTACATACATATTTATTTTTTCATCTTCTTTTTTTTCTCTTTTCTTTTTCTTTTTTTTTCTTTTTCTTTTTCCATACATTTTTCTTCTCTCTCATTTTTAAATCTTACTTTCCTTCCTTCCTTTAATCCTTCCTTCTCTTTCTCGTATACCAACTTGTCGTATTTGTAACATTTTTACGGCAGGGAATGTAAACGTTAAGCGCATTCTTTGTACGATTTCAATTTCACCATAAGGCGTCCTCGTTACGTATTGCATCCTATGGCCTTCGTAAAGATAAGACGACGGTTCCTCCCAGTGAAAGTTATTAAAACCTTGCCAACGACTGATATATGCCGTTAGACGAGAATTCGATCGTTGATTTAACGATGTCCTTCCTGTTTCGGATAAAAAACATTGCATGCATGAGAAAAATATTTAAGTAAATAAATATATTAAAAACGAAGTGCATTCGGCAATATTTGGCAATATTGATCGAAAATGTATATATAATTACATTTATATATATATATATATATATATATATATATATTTTGGTACCAATAAAAAAAATAAAGACAGAGAGAGGACAGATAAAAATATAGTTAGTTCGTTGTTGAATTATTAATTATACTTGTAGCTCATTTTATAGGATTATTATAATATTAATATTAGTATTATAATAATCTTTAATATAAATTTTAATATTGATATAAATATTATAGGATTATTATTATAACATATATAATATATATATTTTTTATCGCAGTGATATATATATATATATATATATATATATATGTATATATAAATTTAATAATCCTTTTAAGTTCGTTTTAAAGTTCGAGAAAATATTTTTTAGATTGTTATGATCAATATAAAATTTTCTTGGGATGATATTTTCTTTTTTCTTTTTTTTTTTTTCTTTTCTTTTCGTATACTTTTATGTATTAGATAAAATCTATTTTTAAGAGAGAACGAGAAGAAGAGAGAAAGTATATTTTATTACTAATAAATTGTATTTCCAACTATTTTAAAAACTAGTTGTATAAATTATAAGAAAGCTGAATGATCGTCGTTGATTTTTCTTATCAAACTTGTATCTTTCTTCTTGGTTTGTTTAATATCAATTTATAGGTTGGAAATTGATAGAAATTACAGGAAACAGAAATTGTGAAATTTAGATTTGAGATGAGAAAATTAGGATCGTTATAGTATTCATTTTGTTTCTTCTAAAAATAGAGTTCTTAGTAATAATAAAAAAAAAAAAATTCGTTATTCATTTTCAGATCAACGAAATTATTTGTCATCGTAAAACTTTAATACATAATTAGAAATTTAGAATCAGAATGTATTAGATATTTTGTACAAACATTCGAATGAAATTTTTTATTTTCTTGTTTTTTTTTTTTTTTTTTTTTTTTTATTCTCTTTTTCGATCTACTCCAAAAAGTACAAAAAATTTATTCCTCGTTTTTTTTTGTTTCAATAAACAAAATTGTCGTCGTAGTATTTCAGTCGTAAATTTAAAAAAAAGAAAAAAAAAAGAAAAAAAAAAGAAATTTACGATTAATAATCACGTAGATCAAAATTCAAGGTGTGTAAGGATTTTCGAATGAATTATTTTAGAAAAGAGTTAAAGTATTTCTCAGAAAAAATTCGAAGTAAAAGAGGTAAAAGAAGAAATGAAAACGAGAGAGAAAGAGAGAGAAAAGGGTAAAAAGAAAAGAAAAAAAAGAATGAAAATGCTGATTCGATAAGTAGTATTGTTCCAAGTGTAATGTTCTTTATTCTAGAGATGGAGTTTGGTTGGCTGCGAAAGATGAGTCAAGGGCAAGGGGGAAGGAAAAGATCGCTCCTGGCGCCACGTTATCGTAATCACTATGGACTTCCTGGTATGGCAATCGAGACGACAAGCGAGAAAGGACACGAATCCAAAGGCGTTCCAGGAATGTCCTACGTGCATCATTTCTCTTTCTCTTTAAATTTCGCACACATGTTTTGTGCTGGACTGGCTGACGTCAGCTTGTCGACCTGGCGATTCGATCCGGTTGGATACTATAAGTATTAAATATTATTATTATTATTATTATTATTATTATTATAATTATTATTGTTATTATTATTGTTATTATTATTGTTATTATTATTTCTTTTTCTTCTTTCTTTTTTTTCTAATTAAATAAAATCTTAGTGTCTTAGTCATTTCGATTAGATTTTGATCGATTATTTGATCGTTCAATTTTTGTTAAAAATATATTGACATTTGTTTCATTAAATACATCATGGATATGAATAGATAATATTGATCGTATCGAAAATTATTTCAAATTTATTTAAGTTTTTATATTTAAATTTTAAAAATTTGTCTACGATAAATTTGTGCTATTTAAATTTTGCGATAGA